GCCCGCGCCCCCGGCTTCCCGCCGCGCCTGCGAGCAGCGCGACGGCCGGGAGCTCCGCGGGCCTCCCGGGGAGGAGCCCGGCCCCGCGCCCCGCGGGCGCCTGAAGGACACCGGCCTCGGGGCCGCTCTGGGAGGGGGGTCTCCTCCCGCGGAGACGCCAGCGGGGCTTCTGCTTTTTTGGAGTTCGTGTAGCTTGTAAATACTCGGGGGCAGCTGCGTGGGGCTCGTTAACTTAAAGGGATTCCGTAGGAGACCGAAAGTAATGCCGATTTAGCCGAAGGCGAGGACAAAATGACAGCGGAAAGCACTTTTTGTCCTTTTGTTTGGGGAAGCGAGAGAACTGTTCGGGAGTTTAACTTCGCTGGGGGGGGGGTGAATGCGAAATACCGCGAGGACGAACGCTGAGCGGAATCCCGAGTTTCAAAGAACTTCGGCGGAGAGCTTTTCCCGAGGACGCCGCTGCCTTGGTTTGTAGGACAGGAAATCAAGGCACTTGAAAGGGCAAAAATAAAAATGAGTGAAAGTTTACAAACAAACAAACAAACAAACAAAAAAAGCTTTATTCTTGTAGGGCCGTGGGGAACGAATAATGACAAGATCGATTTGGGCCAACTCGGGAATTTCTTTGCAAGTTCTTAGAGCACTGGCCTGGAGTATTAATCTCTATCTAGTAGCTGTGCATTTTTGTGGACTACTAGAGAAAAAAATATGACCAAAAACGTCTCCTTTGAAAATCGAGTACCAAGGAGTTTCTTTTTCTGTCTAGAAGCGTCACCGAAAGACTGTTCAAAGAAAACTGAAAACAGTTTTATAGTGATGAACAATGGATTTTAGATTTTTCACAAGGACTTAGAGATTTTTACAGTAGAACGGGGGAAAAGGAATCATAAGCTTAGAGATTTGGAATGTCACTAAAGAACAAAAGACCGGAAATGTTTTCGTGATAAAAAATGGTTAAAGAAGAATCCCAGGAGCTTTTGTTATCATGAAAGTCATAGAAACAATTTTAAAAGTTCAAAACAAGTATTATTGAGTCCTTGTCTTTGCTTACATAGGTTAAACCAGCAGCAGCCGCCGCTATTGAAATGGTCTTTTTCCCACTGTTGAAACAGCAAATCTGTTAATTTCAAATTGCTCCAGAGAAAACTTGAGCTGTCCCTTTAAGGGGTTCTGCTTTTCCTATTTGTGTTGGCATTTGAAAGATTGTGGAGGCAGAAAACTTTCTGGAATGTCAAAAAAAAAAAAAAAAGGCTGGAACTCTTAAATCGAGTATTTCCAAATGTGAGCGCTAAGGGGCGCCAGTTATTTCTTTTCAAAAGAGAAATGTTGGGAGCAAACTGTAACATCAATAATCTGACCTATATTAAATTTAGTTGTAATTTAAATCATAGTAGATCATTTCATCTGTCATTTTGTGTCAATATATGTATTTACAAACATTGAAAACACTTTAAAATTATCGGGACAATTTTATCACATTTCAAAAATAGTATGCTATTTTTTAGTTGGCACATTTTGGTGAGGTTATAGTTATATCAGTGTTAGTGAAAATTTCTGTTAAGGTTTATTTTTTTTCCTTAAGTACAGTTATTTAGAAGGACTTCTTTTTACTCGCTAAAATGAAAATAGGCCATGATGATATTTAGAATTAAAGTTAAATTGCATTCTTTTAATTATAATGTTGAGTTCAATCAAATGGCATAAGAGATTATAAAAAAAATTTGGAAATATTTTCACCTTATGCGTGCTATTTTTAAAAGTAAATTGAGTTTCTCTGATTAGTTCTAAAAAGCTTCTCGTTTGTGCTTTTATGTTGATCTTAAAACCTCTAAATGATAATTCGGGGTTGGTTCTCTGTTAGAAAGTTTCTGACCTTTGGCTTCAATAGTTTTAGTCTTCCAAATCTAGAATTCCAATTATGTCATTATCTCTAACAAATGTTCATTTCTCTCTGGTTAGAAATAGTAACCATTTGAGTTGTAAATGTTGGAGACTACTAGTTTAGGGTGATACATTCTAAATAATATATATGTATATGTATATATATTTTTAAATGTGGTTTACTCCATTAGTCTTATCTTAGTCTATCTTGAGTTTTAGCCTTTTCAACTCCCCAGCATAAAGATTGCTTCTGTGTATGGTAGCTAGGATGTTTAAAATGGACAACATGTAATGACTAGGAAGTTGGATTTTTTTTTTTTATCAGACTAGTACAAACATGCAGGAAAAGGAGCTATTCCTTAGTGTGGATTAAGCTGCTTCCTGTAATTGTTAGCCTTATTATAAACTTAATTTGACTTAAGAAAAATATTGGTTTCTGAAGTGCATCACTTTTTTTCCTACCGGATGATTTAATTCCGAAATTTGGCAGGTTGTGCTTTACACCCTTTGTGGCCTGTCATTGTCCAAAACAAATTAATCATGACTTCTGTTTGTGGTTAGGAATTACATTTTCCTTTGTCCATACAGTTGGCTGAAAAATTCTTTTTAAATTTAGATAAAACTGTAAATTTTACTTTAGTGATTAATCAAGTTAAGATATTGTATTAGTTGCAGTAGATATATTTTTGAAATTTTATTTCAAAATATTTTTCAAAAGTAAGTTTTTTAAAAATTTGCTTGTCAGTTTGAGCATTTTTATTTGGCTAGTTACAAATTGAGATTTGTGCTAGATTTTCTTAGTTTATTAAAACCTGAATGCTTTAGATGAGTATTTTAATTCCATGCCAAATTAACCTTTAGCTTATATTTTGACTATGGATAATCTTTTTGGTTTTGTTTTTTGGGGACAGTGGTTGTCAGATTTTCCTCCCAAGTATCTTCAACATGGTTGCTTTTTTAAGTAGTGAGTACATTGTAGGTTGGAACAGTCATATAAAGGATGTAACTTCAGTTGATAGTTCCAGTACTTAAGAATCTTTCATTGATGATAGAAATGATTACAGATAAAACCAAGGTCTTAAAGTCTTAAACTGCTCTCTCAGGAGGGAGAGGTTTTCAACTGAACCATGGGACCCATTCATGGGAAAGAGTAGTTATTACACAAGAAGTTTTTTTAAAGCCTTCTTTATGAAACTTAAAGAAAATGAAACTTAAGCATCAACAGTTCTAGAATGAAAATTCTCCAATTTAGAATTGAGAAGAATTTTATGAAAAATAAAATCAATTTGACTTAAAAATGCTAAATACAGAAAAATGGAGAGCTACGGATTTTAAAATCAGATTTTGAGTTTTTGTTTGTTTGTTTGTTTGTTTTTAAAGGCAGAGGGGAGGTTAAAGCTGCTGATACTAAAATTAACAAATGTATTGTGAGGTTTATAAGGAAGGCCAGCCTAAATCTTTATATTGTGAACATCTGAAAAATTAGTGTGTGGCTCAGAGAAAGTGAGCAAACAGATTAGATTCTGCATCACTGATATGAAAAGTGAATTTTCATTTTCGCATGGTCTTTTTGGGGGGGCGAGGGATAATAAATGTTCTTTTTGACCTCAACTTAGTTTTTCACTCTGCTCTTTCTCTCTTAAAAAGGGGGGCAAAAATATTTTAAATTAAAACCTGCCTTGCTAGTTAACGTTTTTCCATGTTAATGTTTATTTCCACTTATTAACACATTCATTATTTACCGTGTCTTATCCTGTTTTCTAACACTTCAATTTTTTGAGTAATCTTGCTTGTCTACAAAAGCTTTGATTTAAAAATTAACTGGCTATTTGTTGGTATTCAGAGGACTCCTGCTATATATATGTTTTTTTATGTTTATATTACAATTTTAGGATTTTTTTTCCCTGAAGAAGCACTGTTGACAGTAATCAATATCTGTGGCAAATTTTACTTAAGTTAAAATAATCTGTTCTTTAGGAGCAGAGATTTTGCTTTTGTACACAAGTCCTTTGAATTAGTGGTAATAAAGAGAAAGCCAATGTTTATAATCAGTTGTTCTTTCCATTATCTTTTTTTCTCCTCACCCAGGAGGTGTCACCAACTATATATAAGGTAATGATGGAAATGATCGTTTGTATCATAGGTCATTTATTCAATATTCATTCTCTACTTTTGAAGCTTAACTCTCCCCTACAGGCAGAGTGTATATTCAAAATGCACATACATAATATGAGGCAGAACGTGATTCCTTTTTCTTAACTTCATCCAATTCCCATGTTTTGTAGTAAAAGCTATTCCCAAGGATGTAACATAATTGAGTTAATAGAAATAGGTCTCTTTGCTAACAGCATTTGCTAGTGTATTGGTATGAACACCTTTTCTTAAATGGCTTTGAGAGCATCAGTGAAAACAAGTTAATTTGACTTTTTAAATGTTTTATACACATATTTCTGTTATTAGTTCCTCACTAAGTGACTGTCCTGAAGTTGATTCAAGTGCATCCGTTTTCCGTAAGAACAAGTGGTTTTTGGTTTGCTTTTTAGGGGAAACAGACTCCTGCCACAAAAACATGAAGTCTGATAAACCCCACCCCCTCTGCTTCAACCTCGCCTTTACTGAGGCATGATTCAGATGCTCGTTTTCTGAGGCCAGTATACTTAGATATGTAAGGTTCTTGTTTTCCTTTACTTTTTGACTTTTTGGTTTTAGATAATTATACCAGTTTGATCCATAGGGGCAGCTTTTAATCTGACTGGAGCTACATTTTAATTTACTTAAGAAACTCCATGGACTTAATACAATTTCATTTACTTGTATAATGGTGTATTTATAAGTAAAACTTGCCTTTCTCTGTTGGAGATGGAAAATGCTATGCTGCTGTTGGTTTTATTTGTTGATAACTTAAAAAACAGCTTACTGAGCAACTTTCTGCTATTGGTATGCCAACTATTGTGAAGATACCAAGGAAGTATTTTAGAGCTAACCTGTGGGGGTAGTTCATGAGCCCATGTCAAGAAGTTATAATTGAAATGTGTACCAATTTTTTATTTAAATGATTGACAGGACTTGATTATTTTCTCAGACCCCCCTTTTTTGACATTAAGACAGTTCAGTGTGAATTTTAAGTGCAATAAGGTGTTTTTATCTTAATGAAAACTTTTAGGTAATGCTTATACTACCCCTTTAAAAAATTGACATTTTAGTTGTGGGGCCCAAAAGATTATGGCTACATTGTTTGATGTCCAAGTAAGATTTTTACAGCTTTATTTTCATTTTACAGAAAGCAAAAATGGCATCATACTTTCTATAGTACAGTTTGTTTTGTTAGTTTTATGAAATTTCTGTGGGGGTAGAAAAAGATTAATATTTTTCCTTCCAGCTTCTAAGTTCTTCTAGCTGGGCTAATAATCAAGTTAACAGAGATAGATTAACAGGAGAAAACCAAATTTTTAATAAACACGCACGGGGAATTCACATATGCATGAAAATTCCAAAGACAGTGAGGCAACACTGAGTATATATGACATTTTGGAGAAAAGAGAAAGGGGGGGGTGGTGTATTAGATTTCAGAATTGAGGATGGGTAG